GTATCATTAATATGCTAGAAATTATTTTTAAATGCTTCAGGCACTGGTGCTACTCATGATTTTTTAAGTGACATTCTATGAATAATTATATATCTACTTTTTAATATAGGCTTTTATTGGACTCAGAACAAATAATTTTAGGGAAGAGTTAATATTACTTGCCCTCAATGAGTACTGCTCCTTTTATGCCTTCCACATAAATCTAGTATTAACATTTCTCTAATTATACCCTTTATAACATTAATTTGTTCATTGCTTTTTGTATATTGCTATATTAGTGTGTTACCAGTTTCAGGGATATGTGCATTTTTAGCCCAGTGCACTCATGTATTGTAGATTTATTCTTTTAAAATTTATATAGCAGTAGTCAGTGTCATGATAATACTAAGAGTCAACATTTATTGAATGTATACTATGGTACAGAATACTATGCTAAGTGCTTTCTGTGCATTCTCATTTAATTCTCACAATAAGCACATTATTGGATTTTTTTTTTAAAGCCTGTCCCTCAATCTAGATTTATTTCCCTAATCTTCTCTTATTACCAATTCTGGAATTGTTTTACAGTTTGGCAAGAGGCGTTGGTTCTGTCAGTTAGGATTCTTTGTTAGAAAACAGCGCACTAAACTAAAAGCTCCGTGAGGCCTGAATTCATGGGAAGTGCTCTGGGAGCACAGAAAAGAGGTATTTAATGGATGCTGACAATTTCAAAGAAAGACTTCCGTTGCCTCTGAAAGCTTTAATTTATTTTAAAGAATTATTGTGCTGGAGATGATCCCTTAGAAGTCGTTAAACTTACAGTAGTTTAAAACTGTATGTTCAGTCTAGGCTTGTTGTACTGATGTATAATATATCAGGTATAATGTATATTTGAAATTGACTTATGCACTTGCTTTTCAATGCCTATATATGCTTTTTAATGCCTACATTTGCTCAAAAGTAGAAATACTGACATAATACAATATTTTTAAAGGTTTTGAAAGAGGAAAGGAAGACATTTCTCAAAATAAAGATGACTCTTCACTTTCTATGTCAAAGAGCAAGGTAAGCATATTGTTGTCCCCAAATATATGATTATCACCTTTATCTAATATTGAAGATGAGGGAGCTAATACCAAAATCCTATCAGATTTTTATGAGATGTTTTCATGTTGGTACATCTAAACCATGTAATGTGTTTGAAAAAAGGGAAGTTCCACTGGGGATGATTTAGTGTTATTGTTTACTTGGAAATACAGCCTATTGGTCAGCATTGTCCTCTCTAGAGTTACACTGTTTTTGGTATGGTTGCTACAGCAATACTTCTCAAACTGAAGTTTGAGAGTTCCATTCAGAGAAATTCTCGGGTTCGTGGTTTAAAAAAAAAGAAAGAAAAAAAATTCTTAAGTGTTTTCAGTTTATTTGAATGACAATCAAAATATGTACATTTTACCAGTTAAAGGCCAAAGATCTCTTACATAATAGCCTACAATTCAAAGACATTTTCTTGGAATAAGACATAGTTCCCTAAATTAGTAATTCTCAAACTGGGATATTTGGACATAATCTTAGGTCTGTTGAGAATTTTTTTCTTTTAGGGTACATATTTGAGAAACTGAGGAACACTATATGATGCATTGGTTTTCCTATGGGTTTGTAATTCACTAGGTTTCCATAATTTGTGAAGGGATTTAACTTTGATTGTTATTTCTGATCAGGTTTAGTAGGAGGAGAAACTTTTAAGTTTGTGAAATTAAACTTCAATGACTTGAAGTAAGAAAACCTATTTATTAAGTTAGTAAATTCTTGGCTATTCTCGACAGTAGGTTTTGCATTTAAAACTACATTTTTGTTCCTGTTCTTGGGAGAGGTTGAGAGGATTCCATATGTTTTAGTGTTTAATTTTACAAAAAGTTTATCTGTACTTAACTTTTCAAGTATTCATTATGTAAAGTTCCACCTTATATGTGTAAAAGTACTTAGGATGGAAGTTTAATAGTACTTTGAGTATATAACATATACATGAGAAATACCCTGATCATTTTATATGAGATGTGTAATTAAAGAAAATGAAAGAGGAAATAATTAGCTTGGGTCTGCTGTGACTAGAAATACAATGAAATTTATAGAATTTAAAAAACCTATTTTCAAGCAGTTAATACCAGAACTGGTGAAAGTATGGTTAAACGCCTAATGTATGGTCAGAAGCCTAAACACTTAAACCCCAATCCTACATACCACAGCCACCTACCCATATGCAGTCTTTAAATGGGGAGTATGGGCCACAGGGAGCCTGAAAAGAAGGTTTATGTACCTTAATGAAGTAGTATAACCTTAATGAAAAAAATAAGCATAGGCTTTAGAACTGTGTTTTTGAATACAGTTTTTGAATACACCAGTTGTACATGAATCTTTAAATTTAAATTAATTAAAATTAAATAGAATTAGAAACTTAGTTCATCAGTTAGACCAACCACAACTCAAGCGCTCATATGGCTGGTGGCTATCATATTGGACAAGTCGGACATAGAACATTTCTGTCATTCAGAAAATTCTACTGGACAGCACGGCTTTAGAGTCAAAAAAGTGTGTTTGAATCTTGAGTCTCATATGTTACCTGTGACTTCTTAGAAGCTAATTACAATATTAATAGCTACTTTGTATTAAGAGCTTGCTATGTGCATTTTAACTCTCATAACAATACTAGAAGACAATAATACTAGGTATTATTGGCTCCATTTTATAAGTAAACAAACTGAAGCTTGGAGAAATTAAATAGCTCTCCACGAGTCAAAATGGTAGAGCTAGAACTCAAAATGGCTTCCGTTTTTTTTTAATCTGTGCAAAGGAGATAATATCTGCCTCCCAGACTATGATGCTACAAGTGCCTGACAGAGTACCTGGTTAATAACAAGTATTTAAGAATTTATTTTCTTCCATTGAATAAATAATTACAGTGAAAGAGTGGGATTCTTAACATGGTAATTATTTGGTATACATAAAATTGTACTCATCCTGTTATTTTCCAAGAGCTGAAACTTACTGATTCTATCTTAGAGTTAATCTTGTTTTATTCTGTTAGCTTAAGAGATGCAGTCACTAGTTTATCCTTAACTATTTCAACAGATAACCCACTCTGTTGTTTTTCAGAACAGTCCTAAAATTTACACATTTATCATTAAACATCATTCTCATGGAATTCAGAAGATTTTATTCTTACCTAAGTAACTTTGGGAAACAAAATTTTGTTATTCCTTCTATGATCTGCGTAACTGAGACCATCAAATAATTTTAACCTTATCCTTTATGAACTTGGTGCAAAAAGTATCAATACTGTCATTTTGGTCATAGGATTTGGGGTTAAGTGTTATTTCTTAAAATACATAATTGAGACCAGTGAGCACAATGGAATACACCCTCCTTACTGCCCCTTCCATTATTAAAAATAAATGTGCTTCCTGTGTCTCACACATCCTATATGTGAATGAATTGGAAAAGTCAGTTAGTCAAATCATTCCATTTTCCTGTTAGCATTTTTAAATGAATTTTTATTTGTCCATCTGAACGAAAGGAATTGCTAGCATGAGTAATTTGTCTGGTGGGTTAAAGGGTTTGTGAACCCAGATCTCTCGATGTGATTCTCCAGCCNCCATAAAATTGATATGAAATCCGTAGTGACTATAAGTAATTCTGAAATTAATTTGAAACTATAAGAGATACATGAAATGTTTTATGTTTTAAAAATAGATCTTTGGTTCTTAGATTAACAAACCTAGATTTTGGTTTTAAATTAGCAGCTGCCTTTAAAAATTTGTTTTCTAAAAGTGTTTTGTTTTTTTTTTCATTATTGAAGAAAAGAGTACAGTAAAACCTTGGATAACGGGTAACATGGTTTGACAGTGTTCTGCCAGACGAGCAAACATTTCTAATACATTTTAACATGGTAAACGAGCAATGTCTTGCAATACAAGTAGTTTGTTTCTGAAACAAATTATGCTTGCAAACCAAGGTGTTACTGTATTTGTGTTTCCTTTGTGCAGTTAATGTCTATCAGTTTGTTATATCTTTTCCTAAGATCATTGTAATATATTGGTTTTCTTTGAATTTGAAAATTGTAAGTTATTATTACTATTTTACATTTACAAAACTCTTTATATTGATCAAAACATTATACACACACACACACACACACACACACACATATAGGTTTATATTCATCCTTGTAATTATATGATGTGGAGGAACAGCAGGTGACAGGTAATAATTCAGCCAGATCTAGGACCCAGAAATATTAGCTCCTAGTGTTGGTTCCAGTGGTTCTAATTGAAGTAATGCTTTTTTTAGTTTATTAAGTATTTTCATGAAGTATTTTGAGTTTACCAAGTATTTTTAAATCTGCAATATAAAGAATGTTAATAGTAGCTTTGTGAAGTTTGTGTAAATATGAGTACCATATTTATTTCACCACCATTCAGATGAGGTAGGAAAGATAGAGTTCTAAGAAAGAGATTCAGGTGGGAAATAAACATATGAAAAGCAATGCAGATAAAGCGACAATGACGTAATATACTACTACATATCTATCAGAATGGCCAGAATCCAGAATGCTGACATCATTGTTGTGGAGCAGCAGGACCTCTGATTCATTGTTGATGGGAATGCATAATGGTACAGCCACTTTGGAAGGCAGTTTGTTTGGTGGTTTCTTAGAAAACTGCACAATATTCTTATCACACGATCCAGCAGTCACACTCCTTGATATTTATCCAAAGGAGTTGAAAACTTATGTCTACACAAAAACCTTCACAAGGATATGTATAGTATTTTGTCATTGCTAAAACTTGGAAGCGACCAAGATATCCTTCAGTATCTGAATGGATAAATAAACTGTGATACATCCAGACAATGGAATGTTATCCAGNAAGTAATGCTAGGTCTTTGTCAATGTTGTGCCTAAAATACCTTATGACTAATTTGGGCTCTTATTAGAAATCTTTAAGCTCCAGATCTCACTTGAGTTTTTCAGGGCTAAACCTGCTCTTGTCTTTTGACATTGGATTTTCTCAGCCAACTCACCAGAAGTCCCCAACACATCCCCTGACTGGCTTTCTAAATCTTACCTTCATTCTGATAATTTGCTACCCATTTTCTACTGTCGCATCTCCAATGTTACCTCAGGATAACTGTTTTCTTTTCATCTCTTTTACATACACACATACTTTTTCTTAAAGATTTTCTCTTCATGCTTGGCTCCAAGTTCCCCCTTTCTAAATTTTTCTTGTTTAGAGTTACTGTGGTATGCCTATTTGAGGGGTTAGAGATGCCTGTATTTATTTCATAATTCTTGTATAAGTATATTGAGAGAACAGTAAATAAAAGTGAGGATGATTTCTAGTTTTTAATCTCAATATTATATTGGCATCCTTTTCAGTATAGTGAATTCAGTGACTTGATTATAGAAATGGAATAGGAAAAACTATAGTTATAGACTTATTGTTGACATAGCATTAAACCTTAGGATGAGGAACATTTTATGAGACTAGAGACATTTGTGTAACTTGTGTTTTAAATCCCCCAAGAAATTTATATGGCACACTTTATATAATTATTAAGAACAAGGTAATTTAGAGAAGGTAATTTTAGGGGCTAGAAAGAGGTTCTTTCTACCACTCACCAAACATTTAGGAAATGCCTGATGTGTGCTAGCAGTGTTTTCAGCACTCGTGATGCAGCAGTAAGGGGGGAAAAAAATCTTAAGTAAAATAATCTTACACCAGGGGCCGGCCGAGTGGCTCGTTGGTTAAGAGTTGGCTTGGGAGCACAAGCTCTGAGCAGCAGGGCCGCCAGTTCGGATCCCACATGGGCCAGTGACGCTATGCCCTCTACAGCTAAGATGGTGAACAACAGCTCAACCTGGAACTGGGCTGCAGTGAGTCACCAGTGACAGCATAGGCTGCAGTGGGGCTGAAGTGGGCTGCTGTGAGCTACATGAGTGGCCAGCAGCCAGAGCGGCCGGCAGCCAGCGTGAGCGGCCGGCAGCCAGCGTGAGCTGCTGTGAGCTGCCG